AGTTTGATTCTTGCTGCCTATAAAAAATAAGCAATATTCAACATACAGTACTGTGTTGTCGGTCATGGCAAACACTGATATACAGGGGGATAGATGGGTGGACAGGCTGGATGATTAGGTATATCCATGCAGGGAGGAGTGTGCCCAGGACCACATATAAGGTTGGCAGACAATGTATCTACAAATATATTTGTATGTTCTCTAAGAATTTCCAGGTATATAGTAGATCTAACCAGGGACAAGGTTGTAGTCACTTCTTGGTCACAGCCAGCTACCCAGAGGGAGTGAGTAGTTGGACCTGTGGGCTTGGGACCATGGTTGCAGAGGACATCAAGCTCAATTGGCATAACATACTACACAAAAACATTGTTCTACAACCTACTTTGGTGAATAACAACTGGGATCTTAAAAGCTTGCAGCAGCCATCTAAATGCAATGACAGGTCTCTCCTCATCCAGAGCAAAGAATGAAGAAAACCAAAGACACATGGAAACAATTAGTCCAAGCAACTGGTACACTATGCTATCCTCAGCCTATATGACTATGAGACCAAGAGAACTAGATGGTGCCCGGCTACCATTGTCAATCACTCAGAGGGGAATCTATGTAGGAGATCCTGGATAGAAGGGAGAACAATGTGGAACAAAATCAAAACCATAAAATCAAAAAACAAACAAACAAAAAAAAAAATAGGGACCAGGTTTGCTGGTCTGATAGAGCTTGTTGGAATCCCTGAGACTATGGCCCCTAGCTGCCCTTCAGGTCTGAAACTGAACCCACTCCTGTGGCTTCCAGCCAAACAAAAGACTGTCATATGAGCTGAACATTTACATTAGGCAGATACACTCCTTGGGGAGCTCCATCATGGGAGAACAGAAGGACTGTGTATGCACAGGGAGACAGCTCGGGGGGCAGGGGTGCATGGAGGGAAGGACACAGGCAAGAGGTTCATCTTGTTCTTTATCATCATTTATCCTGTTCTCATGTTTTTCATACAAATAAAGCAAAGAGGGAGGTCAATAAGCTCTTATCCACTAAATGTAAATGAAACCTATTTAGAGCCACAAATAAAATAGCCTCATATGAGGGCTACAAGTCCAAAATCATAGCGTTACAGGGCAACATTCTAACCTATAATCACATCAATTAAAAGCCAACTAGCCTTTTCCTCAGAAGCTCTGGTGGCATAGTGCCTAAGGCATTTGACTGCTAACCAGAAGGCTGGTGGTTCAAACCCACCAGCCACTCCTTGGAAGGAAGATTGGGCAATCTACTTCCATAGAAAAGTAGAATCCTTGGAAATCCAAGGAGGGGTCACTACGAGTCATGGAGAGTTACGTTCTAATACTATCAATGAGGAAAAATGTCAGTAAGTTATTTTGGGGGGGGAGGTAAAAAACTGCCCTCCAAAGATGTCCATGTCCTGATGTCCAGAACCTGTGAATATGTCACTGTACATGGCAAAACGGACACTGCAGAAGTGATCAAAAGAAGGCTCTTGGGACAGGGAGATTAGCTTAGCTTAAGCAGGTAGGCCCGACGTAATTACAAGGGTCCTCGTAAGAGGGAAGCAGAGGGTGAGAGAGAGATAAAGAATGTGCCAGTGAAGGAGGCGTCACAATGACACACGGCCACAAGCCACCGAAAGCTGGCGGCCTCTGGAAGCTGCAGAAGATGAGGAGGGGTTCTCCCCTGGGGCCTCCAGAAGGTGAGCATCTGTGCAGACCCAGCTCAGGGTCCTCACTGCCAGGACCCAGAACTGTAAGGTAACCAATAGGTCTTGTTTTAAGGCCCAAGTTTGTGCTGATTTGTCACAGCAGCTCTGGAAAACTAGTACACCGAGGTTCACATGGATGGTTAAGTTCTAAACAGGAGCCCTGGTGGTACACTGGTTAAGCGCTCAGTTGCTAACCGAAAGGTCAGAGGTACAGACCTACCAGCTGCTCCACAGAAGAAAGATGCAGCAGTCTGTGTTGGTAAAGATTTACAGGTTTGGAAACTTTATGAGGCAGTTCTACTCTGTCCTACAGTATCACTGGAAGTTGGAATCAAGTCGATAGTTTAAGTTCTAAACACATGTGCTTTAACATACATCTGCTTTTCCATGTTCATTGCAGCACTATTTACAATAGCAAAAAGAAGGAAACAACCTACATGGCCATCAGCAGAAGGATGGATAACCAAACTATGGTACGTACACACAAGGAATACTATGCAACCCTAAAGAATAACATAGAATCTGCAAAACACTGCATAACATGGATGAACTTGGAGGACATGATGCTGAGTGAAATAAGTCAATCACAGAAGAACAAATATTGTATTAGTTCATTACTGTAAAAAGTCAAGGAAAGGTTTATATATAGAAGGCAACTTTCTTTGTTGGTTACCAGGGATGGGAAGTGAGGGGAGGAAACACTGCAAAAATAAAAATAAATAATAATTTAAAAAATAAATCTGTTCTTGAATTTAGGAATTCTGGGAAGATGGCAGCACAAACAAACTATCATTCTAACCTTCTCCCGCAAGTATAACAAGAAAAGAACAAGGAAATGGTGCTAGGAGTTGAGGGGCTCTGAATTGAGGAGCAGAGGAAAGCAGTAGGGAAGTGGAAACAGGAAGCACACCTAGGAGTGAACAAATAATGGAAAACACGGAAGAATATCACATTAAACAGAACTAAAGAACTAGGGAAAACACAGATGAAGAGCTGAAAGAAATAAGGAACAACACAAGAACAAAATGAGAATCTAAAAAAAGAGATATTACAAATGAAAGGGGATCATCACTTAAATGAGAGACCCAATAGAAAGACTTACCAAAAGATTTACTCAGGCAAAAGAATCAGTGAATTAATGAAAGGGTAAGACAGTTGAAATTAGAGATGTGAAGGGCAACAAGAGTGTACTCAAGAACGCTGAGCGCAGTTTACAGAACTATAGGGTGATACAGGCCCTCCGGTGGGTTCTAGAAAAAGAGGAGAGAAAGGGACACAGAGAATATTTGAAAACATAATGACAGAAAATGTCCCCAATCTAACAAAGGACATGAATTTACAAATCCAAGAAGCTCAAAGAACCCCCAGGAGGATAAGCCTGAAGAGACTGTGGTGCAGTGAAATGCTACGGATGGCTTTTCCAGCCATAGTCTTCATAACTCCCACCAGATTACTGGGTGGGAGCATGCAAATAAGGTGCATAGAACTCTGATGCTGGGATTGGTTAATTCTGTCGCTCTGCCAGGCTTAACATGAGCCCTCCTAGCAGCAGAGAAGAGAGAAGAGCTGACGGTGAAGTGGAGCGCATCCTCGGACCTGAGATCCCTGCACTGGACCTGCTTGGCAGAGATGCGTGGCAGAGACACCCCAGAAGAGAGAGACGCCCCGGCAGAGAGACGGTCACAGTGGAACCAAGAGGCACAAGACGGAGCAGTGGGCTCACCTGGCCCCCAGAGCAAGAAAGCTGAGTGCCCTCGGGCAGGAGCGGGGTGCTGCTGATGCAGCGGGGTACACCTAAGTGTACCTATCGGCAGAGCTAAAAGAACTCTGTAACACTTGCCCAAGCAGGGCAAAGGCCAGCCTGAGAGGCCAAGGGCCTGAGAGGCAAGCCTGAGGGCACAGCAGAGGGGAGACCGTCCTGATCCAAGAATTGTATCCTGATCATGTTCCTTAACCTGAATTACAGCCTATTACTTCCCTAATAAACCCCATAATTGTGAGTATTGTCTATGAGGTGCGTATACATATATATGTGTATGCATACACACAATGGGAACTCTGGTGCCGCAGTGCCTAAGGCACTTGACTGCTAACCAGAAGTCCAGAGGTTCAAACCCACCAGCCACTCCTCGAAAGGAATATCGGGCTATCTACTTCTGTAGAGCTACTGCCTCGGAATCCCAAGGAGGGGCTGCTACGAGTCAAATCGACTCAACGGCAGTGAGTTTTTTGAGTTTATGTATAAAATATATAAATATATTAAATATTTATATATATATAAATACAGAAGGCAAATATGTAAATATATAAATATAATAAAGTGAATATATAAAGCAATATATAATATTGCTAAATATATAAATATTTACATAAATACATAAAGTAAACATTGATAGAATTGAAAGGAGAAACAGATAATACTATAATAATATTTGGAAACGTCAATGTACCACATTCAATACTGGACAGAATATCTAAAAAGAAGATTGACAATAAAACAGAGGTCTTGAATTACACTATAAATCAACCAGATTTAACAGACATCTATAGAACATTGTACCCAAAAACAAAACAATATACATTCTACTCCACTGCACATAGATCATTCTCCAGAATAGACCACATGTTAGGTCACAAAGCAAGTCATGATTAATTTTAAAAGACTGAAATCATACAAAGTATTTTCTCTGACCACAACAAAAGGAAGCTGGAAATAACAGAAGAAAACCTGGAAAAGACACAAACATAGGGAAATTAAACAACACACTATTAATTACCAACACTATAAACTACCAACAGGTCAAGGAAGAAATCAAAAGAGAAATCACAAAGTTCTTAGAGTCAAATGAAAATGAAAGTAAAGCATACCAAAAGTTATAGGATGCAGTGAAGGGAGTACTCAGGAGGAAACTTAGAGCAATAAATGCCTACATGAAAGAAGAAGAAAGATCTAACTAACAGCTTAATTCAACAACTCCAAAACTAGAAACAGAAGGCAAACTAAGCCCAAACCCACCAGAAGAAACGAAAAAACAAAGGTCAGAACAGAAATAAATTTAAAACAGAAAAATAATAAAGAGAACCAATAAAATAAGAACTTGGTTCTTTGAAAAGATTAATAAAATTGACAAACCTTTAGCTATACTGACAAAGAAAGAAAAGATACAAATAACCAAAACAGAAAACAAAAGAGAAGGCATTACAACCGACCTGAAAAAAACAGAGACAATTATAACAGAATGGCAACAAACTACATAACCTCGATGACACACACACAACCAACTCAAACTGACTCCAGAGGAAACAGAAAGGCTCAACAGACTGATAATGAGAAGAGATTGAATCAGTGATCAAAATCCTCCCAACAACAACAAAAAAAATCCTGGACCAGAGGGGAATTCGACCATACATTTAATGAAGACTCGACACCAATACTGTTTAACTCTTCCTAAAGATAGAGAAGAAAGGAATATTTCTAATTCATTCTGTGAAGCAAACATAACCCTGATACCCAATCCAGACAAAGTCATCACAAGAAAAGAAAACTACAGGCTAGTATCTCTTATGAATACACATGCAAAAATCCTCAACAAAATACTAGTGAACAGAATCCAAGAGCATATTAAGAGTTATACACCGTGACCACATAGGATTTATTGAAGGAAAGTAGGAATGATTAGTGCATCAACAGAACAAAGAACCACGTGATCATTTCTATGGATGCAGGAAAAGCATTTGATAAAATCCAATAACGTTTCTTGATGAAAACCCTAAAAAAGATTGGAATAGAAGGGAAATTCAGGGCCTATATGAAACATCATCATTATAGTTAATGCAGAAAGGCTAAGAGCTCTCCTCTTGAAACGGGGAACATGACAAGGATGCCTGTTCTCATCATTTCTATTCAATATTGGATTATAAGTCCTAGCCAGAGTAATAAGAAAAAGAAATAAAAGGTATTTAGATGGGAAAAGAAATAATCTCTCTTCATGGATGATATGATCCTATATATAGAAAATTCCAACAAGTCCATAAGAAAACATCTAGAGCTAATAGAGGAATTGAGCAAAGTTGCAGGGTACAAGATCAACTAACAAACATCAGTTGGGTTTCTACACAGCAAAAAAAACCTGACAGGGAAATACTTCCATTTCAATAGCATCAAAGAGAGCAACACCTAGGAATAAATCTAACCAGAGACATGAAAGATTTATACAATAAGAAGTATAAAACCCTGCTGAAAGAGATTAAAGAAGACTTAAGTAGATGGAAAGATGTTCCATTTTCATGGATTGGAAGACTTAATACTGTTAAGATGTCAATATTACCCAACGCTATCTATAGACTCAGTACAATCCCAATCAAAAGTCCAATAGCATCAGGGGTAGGAGGGAGGAAACACTCCAAAAATAAAATTTTTTTTTAAAAGCCCAATAGCCTTCTTTACAGAAGCAGAAAAATCAATCCTCAACTTTATATAGAAACAGAAGAGGCCCTGAATAGCTAAAAAAAAAAAAAAATGATGAAAGAGAAAAACAAAGTAAGAGGACACACACTTCCTGATTTTAAAACATTGTTGTTATGTTGTTATGTGCTGTCGAGTCGGCCCCGACTCATAGCGACCCCTCCTTGGGTTTCCGAGGCAGTATCACTACGGAAGTAGATTGCCCAACCTTCCTTCCGAGGAGTGGCTGGTGGGTTTGAACCGCCAGCCTTCTGGTTAGCAGTCAAGTGCTTTAGCCACTATGCTACCAGAGCTCCTAAAGACTAAGTGGAGGTGCCAGGAATTGAACCAGGGACCTCGTACATGCGAAGCACGCGCTCTACCACTGAGCTACACCGCCTATTTTAAAACATATTATACAGCTATATTAATCATGGGAGCTCTGGTAGCATAGTGGTTAAGGCACTTGACTGCTAACCAGAAGGCTGGCGGTTCAAACCCACCAGCCCCTCCTCGGAAGGAAGATGGGGCAATCTACTTCTGTAGTGATACTGCCTCGAAAACCCAAGGAGGGTTCGCTATGAGTCAGGTCCAACTCGACAGCACATAATGACAACAACAACAACAAATTAATCATAACAGCCTGGTACTGTAACAATGGATACATAGACCATTGGAACACAATCCAAAGCCCAGAAATAAACCCATACAACCACGGTCAACTGATTTTTGACAAGGGTGCTAAGTCCGTTCAATGGGAAAAGGGTCTCTTCAACAAATGGTACTGGGAAAATCGGATTTCCACATGCAGAAAAATGAAACAGGAGCCATGCCTCACACCATATACAAAAACAAATTCAAAATTAAGGACCTAAATTTGAAAACTAAAACCATAAAATTCTTAGAACAACAACGATGAACAATGCTCAGTTCTCAAAACTGTATTATATAATACATTAACAAAAGTACAAAGACCAAAAGACAAAATAAATAAATGGGACCTCTTAAAAACAGAAATCTTTCATTCATCAAAAGACTTTACCGAAAAAGTGAAAGGGCAAGCAGCCCACTGGGAGAATATCTTCAGAAACCATTTATCTGATGAGAATCTAATAACCAAAATATACATAAAACCTTGACAAGTTAACAACAGAAAGACAAATAATCCAATCATAAAATGAGCAAAGAACTCAGACATTTCATCAAAGAAGACATTTAAATGGCCACCAAACACACGAAAAGATGTTCAGCATCATTAGCCCTCTAAGAGGTGCAAATCAAAACCACATGAGGTACTATTTCACTCCCACTAGGATGGCTAAGATAATAAAAATAACCGGTGAGGATGTGGGACAATTGGAACCACTGTCCATTGCTAACAGGAATGCAAAATGATACAGCTGTATGGAAAACAGTATGGCAGCTTCTCAAAAACCTAAAAACAGAACTACTGTATGACTCAGCAATTGCACTCCTATGTATAAACCCAGAAGATTTCAAAGACTTAAAAGAGAATGTGTACCAATGTTCGCTGTAGCACTATTTACAACAGCCAAAAGGTGGAAACTCCTAAATGCCCATAAGCAGATGAAAGGGTAAATAAAACGAGGTACATACATACAATGGAATACTAGTTGGCCAGTGGGAGAAATGAAATCTTGATACAGTATGGATGGAGCCTGAAGACATTATGCTGAGTGAAATAAGCCAATAACAAAAGGAAAATTAACGTAGGACCTCATGCATTGCTGCTGGGAATATAAAATAGTGCAGCTACTGTGAAAAGGTTCGGCCGTTTCTCAAAAAGTTGAACATAGAACTATCATCCACCCCAGTTCTTCCACTCTTCAGTATACACTCAAGACATGTGAAAGCAGTGACAGTAAGAGATAACTGTACACCAATGTGCAGCACTATTCACAATAGCCAAAAGGTGGAAACAACAAAAATGCCATCAACAGATGAACAGATAAACAGAATGTGGGATATCCACACAGTCGACTACTACTCAGTCACAAAGAGAAACCATGCTCACACAGATGAACCTTGAAAACATCACATTGAAGGAAACAAATCAGCTGTAAAAAGACAGTGTATGCCATGCGATCTGCAGCCTACATGACTATGAGACCAGAAGAACTAGATGGTGCCTGGCTACCACTGTCAACCACTGGGAAGGGGATCTGTGTAGGAGATCCTGGATAGAGAGCGAGAACAATGTGGAACAAAACTCAAAATCATTTGGAAAAAAAGGGGGGGCAGGTTTGCTGGTCTGATAGAGCCTGGTGGAACCCCTGAGACTATGGCCCCTAGCTGCCCTTCAGGTATGGAATTGAACCCACACCTGTGGCTTCTAGCCAAACAAAAGACAGGCATAGGAGTTGAACATTTACCTGAGGTATATACACTCCTTGGAGAGAACAATCATGGGAGAAAGAAGGGCTGTTTATGCACTGGGAGACAGCTCAGGGAGCAGGAGTGTATGGAGGGATGGACAAAGGGAAGAGGTAACTATGGGGAGGAAGTGGGAGGGGAGCTGTTGCATTATCGGAAACTAGTCAATGTCATGAGACAAAGTGTATGTGAACTGCTGTGTGGAAAGTGAATTTGCTCTGTAAATTTTCACCCAAATAACAATTAAAAAAAAAACCAACACAATATACGATCTCGCTCCTATGAAACAAGCAAATATATAAAACCAAAGATTACTATGGGTGGGAGGGAGGGGGAAAGGAGAGTGTCTGGTAAGAGAACAGTGGGTTTCTATTAATGGTGGTGGAATGATTTGGAAAAGGAGGGTGGGAATGGTTGCACATCTTGAAGAGCACCATCAATGTCACTGAACTGTACATGGAGAAACGGTTGGATTCTGGTATCTGCACAACAACAAAAAAAGCCACCTTTTTCTGGGCAGGGTAAGGGGATGGAGAAGGCAGAGATACTGGCACTTTCACCAGGGAAGACACAAGAGGCCTCTGTGATGAGCTAACATTTGAGCAAAGACCAGAGTGGAGTCAGGGAGGGGTTGGGGCAGTTATGGTAAGAACCGTAGACAAAGAGGAGAGGCAGCCAAAGACCATGAGGAAGAAGAGACATAGGAGCTTCTGAGAAAAACACCAAGGGGTCAGTATGGCCGAAATGGTGGAAGGGGAAAAGGACAGAAGACGAAGGAGACACTGGGGAGGGGGGCAGATCAAGCCAGGTCTTGCAGTCTGCTGTGCAAGGGGACTGTGGATGAGATGGGAAGTCTTTGGGGGGTTTGGAGCAGATGGAGAGCATGCTACTTGTTTTTTAAAGAATCCCGCTGGCTAGCATGTGGAGACTAGATTATAGGAGTGTGTGCGGGAAACACAGAGCCCAGTGTGGAGGCTGTTTGTCGTAATGTAAGCAAGAGATGACTGACTCAGACAAGGGCATTAATCAAAGAAGCACTGGGCAGCAGACTAGCTAGGACCCGAAAGGAGAGTCACGGGGCTCTCCCCAGAATACTCACTTCTTTGGGTTTCTGTCTCCATCATCCAAAGCTTTTCTTCCACTTCCAGCTGGAATAACATATCTAGTTTGAAGGGATGATGTCCTACAAAAAGGCAGATACATATACATTTAAGGACAACACGCTTACAACTAAAACGTATCTGGTCCCAATGCTGTAACTCTCACAACCTCTGAAGCAACACTTCAAGACTTTCTGATCATGAACTATAATGAGAACCAGATTTAGGTCGTAGCCTAGCTCATGTGCACAGGGAGACACAATGAGTTCCAGCAGCTTTGCCTGTGTGTCTCCCACCACTCACTGCAAACAGGCACTCGTTTTGCTACAACTGGAGCAGTTCTTGGTAAAGAACTTGGCTGTTCTCTGTCCTTATCTATGGCATTGAAAAGACAAAGAAAAAAAAAAGATTGTGGTGCAATGAACAAAACTGGTTTCACAACCCACCAATGGCTCCCCATTTCCTGCGTCTCTCAACCTCGGCACTGCTGACATCCTGGACCAGTTTTTGTTGTGGGGGAGCTGTCTTGTGCTTTGTGGCAGGAGGTTCAGCAGTATCCCTGGCCGCTACCCACTGGATGCACCTTTCAGGAGGATCCATCTTTCTCCCCCAGTTGTTGTTGTTGATGTTGTTGTTGTTATGTGCCATCGAGTCAAACGCGACTCATAGCGACCCCTCCTTGGGTTTCCGAGGCAGTATCACTACAGAAGTAGGATTGCCCAACCTTCCTTCTCTCCCAGTTGAGACAACCAAAAATGTCTCCCTCCATCCAATTATCCCCTGCAGAGCAAAATCATCCCTGGTGGCGAACCAGTGATTTAAAAGGACAGACTTTTGCCAGAGCAAAAGACCAGAGAAACCTACCCCTGTTGTGCCAGTGATTGTAAAACTTTTGTCTTCAAGGTCAAAGAACCATTTCAAAAGCCCAAAGCCTTAAACAACTGAGAACAGAGACTCTCACGGGGGCTGAGGTTTAGTTCAGAGGGTGCCCGTCCTCACCCACGGAGACCAGGTTCCTGAAGGTCTCCAGCATCACGTCTTGGTACAGTGTCCTCTGGGCAGAGTCCAGCAGCCCCAGCTCCTCCTCGGTGAAGACCACAGCCACGTCCTGGAATGTCACTGATTCCTACAACATCAAACGCATATAACCTCAGTCTTACAATCAGCTACCACTGGCAGAAGGGCAGCATTGAGAAGGATAAAACTCGCAAAAATATTGTTTCAGGTCGCAGCCCAGTGAACTGCAGCCGTATGGCTTGTCTAGCCATGGTCCTGTGACGCCCACAAAATGACTGAGTGGGACTAGGCAAGTAAGATGCTTGTGGCCCACAAACAGGATCGAACAGGTTGGCAGTTCAAACCCACCAGGCACTCCGTGGAAGGAAGACTGGGCAATCTAATTCGGTAAAGATTTACTGCCTCGGAAACCCGGGGAGCGGGGTGTCTCTATGAGTCGGAATCGACTCAGTGGCAGTGACTTTGGGTTGGTTTGGTTTTTGCTATCCCACTAGGCTTAAAGGGAGCCAGTTCCAGATGTTTAAGGGGGACCTCACTACCATGTAGGAGAAAAGCCAGGTGCAGAGCACATCCTTTGGACCCAGGGTCCCTGCACTGAGAACCTTAGAGCCGGGGGCCAGAGAGAGAGTTATAAAACTGAACACGACATGAGACAGCTCCGGCAGAGGAGCAGCAGGTGAGGCTCGCCAACCCACAGAGCAAGACAGCTGAGCACGTCAGGCAGGAGGCTCCTGGTGGAGTGAGCTACCTCCAGGCACCTATCAGCTTTCTGTTGTACGTCGGGTCACTACAAGTTGGAAACGACTCAACTGCACCCAACAACAAACGATAATACTTGTCTGAGCAGGGCTGAGGGCTGAACGCTGAGGGTACAAGCTGAGGCCAAGAATGAAAGCTGAAGGCCGAGAGAGAGGCCTTCCAGTGGGCATGGCTGACAAGACGCTATCCAGATCAAAGGACTGTATCCTGAGTCATTCCTATTATTTCCAAGCTGATCCTGATCCTGAATTATAACCTGTTACTTCTCTAATAAACCATATAATCATAAGTATAGTCTGTTAAGTTCTGTGTGGCCACTGCAATGAATTATCAATTCAGCAGAGAAGTACAGAGTGCCGTGGGAAGGACAGCTGGTGTCAGAATTGGTAAAAAGGCTGGAGAGTGGAGGTATGTGTGACCTCCACCTCATGGGAATCAGCCTTTGGCTGATGTTGATGACGATTCTCCTCTCCTGAAGTTAGGTGAGGTCTGAAGCCATGCGATTGGAACGCAGATTTAGAGAGAACCCAGTCAGCTTTTGGTCTCAACCCAGTTCTCTCTCTCTGTCGCCCCTCTCCCTCACCGTGTTTTAACAACCGCCACGTTCACAGGCCTTCAGGCCTTCCTCGATGGGTATACAGCTCTTCCTCGGTTCTGTCAAGACACATGTCGTACCCACCCACCGCAGCATCCACAGCTGGTTAAGGCATAAGCTCTGGGGTCAGGTCGGCTGCGTTCAAGTTCAATGTTCTGCCCTACACTAGGTCTAAGACCTTAGCCACACTGCTTAACCTCTCACTACCTCAATTTCCTCTCCTCTATGTAAATCGTAAAAGGATTAAATGAGTGAATATATGTAAGGTGCTTGGAATGGTGCCTGGTACCCCACAAATGCTCAGTAACTGTGAGCAGTTAACACAATCGCCACGATCCCCTCCATCCCATTTTGTGA